CCCCGCCCCGACCTCCTTTCTGACCTGACACCTGAAATCATTTCATTTTGACTTTTCCAATTGTCCATCCCCAACTTTTTTTTGTGTGGCTAAAACGAATTGCCAAATTGGATTCGGCTGTGACAAAAGGCTAGTACACTCTTACCATGCATCAGATGGGGGAGACATTGTAGAGACAAGGCCTAGGACCAGGTCACCCTTTTCAAGCCCATTTGCAAAATGAGTATTAGGGGAGAGGGAAGCGTTTTCCAGACTGGAAAACACCAACACAAGATCAAACAGCTGCAAACTGGCTACAGATACATTTCGATTGGAAATCAGGCACTGATTTGTCCCAAGCAGAGGATTGAAGTTTTGGTGGGGGCAAGACCCTGGAAAGAGAGCCATTGGTGGGTGGGTGTTTGCAGGGAAGCTGTTCCCTGCCAGAAGGGTGACCTGGGAGGACCAGGGAAGTCATGGGTTCATAGATTCATAGACATTTGGGTTGGAAGGGACCTTTGCAGGTCATCGAGTACAGCCCCCTGCCCCGGGCAGGAAAAAGCCCTGGGGTCAGACTCATGAGAAGAGAAAGGCCCTCACCTGTTGGGATTTTACACTGCTGCTCACAGCGTTGCTTGGATTTAAACCGGTTGCTGTTCCCACCGCAGCCTCCAAAGACAAAGGGCCTGCAGTGGTTCACCTCCGGATGGTAGTACCACAGCAGCATGTACTGCGAGCAGGAGCCCTCGTCCATAGGCAGCAGACAGGGGTCTGAAAGGAAGCAGACCCCCACCAGTCATATAGGGACACAGGACTGTGTGGACCTCAAAGCCACCGCTCCCCCAGGAGAATCCCCAAACTCACCACATCAACCCCTCGCGCATCGCAGGTTGATGCAGTGCCACACGCCTCAGCTTGCCATAGGCAAAAGCAGGGGGGGCGAGAGCACTGCCAGTGCCCTGCCAGGAAACTTGAATGGAGAACCAAGGACTGGCCTTTGCCACCCGGCCTCACATTGAGCTGCAGTTGACCCAGCTTATTGGGGTCTGGGTGCAGTCTAGGTGGCCTCCTGGCTAGCATGCTTCAGTTTGGACTCTGGGGGGTTTTGCCTTCCTCTGTAGTGGGGGCATGGCCCTCTTGGGATCTCTTGAGCGTCTACCAACAGCAGCAAGATGTTGGCTTCTGTGTTTTCCCTGCTTTACCTGTGTCCAATTAGGGTGTTATGTCTCATGGTAATGCTGGCGTTGACTGTAGCTTTACTAAGAGGTTAGACATTGGATTTGTATAGGGTGGCTTGGATAGGGATGATCTGGCTGCAAGCTGGGGGTTGGCCTACATGACCTTTGGAGGTCCCTTCCAGCCCAATGTCTCTCTGATTCTGTGATTCAAAGGTACCAGGTACTGTAGCCAAAGGCACACATTGGGGTTGGACTCGATGATTTGTTGAGATCCCTTCCAATCCTAGCATCTAGCATCTATGAATCTAGCCATCTTGGATGCCCCAATCAAATGAGTAGGTTCAGATGCAGTGGGGTCTGTAGAGGTTGGCCTTTGGAGGGGGCCACAAGCAAGGTCCAAACTGATGCCTCTGCAGATGCCCCAGCCACTCTGCTATGACACCCCTCGCTTGAGATGGATGTGAGGTAGGGTTGCCAACCTTCCCGGATTGGCCAAGAGTCTACCGGAATCGGTGTCGCTCTCCTGGTGACTACTGAAAGCAATTTGGGAGACTGATATTGTGAATGGGTTGAACAATACAATTAATGACATTACGTGATGTTGGGGGGAAAAAACCCCGCCTGGAATAGCCTCAGTCAGAGTTGGCAACCCTAATGCAAGGACTGGATGTAAGTGTGAGGGTGACAGAGTCTTGAACTTGGGTTTTTCCAAAGGCTTGTCTAGCCCACCACAATGAGACCTAGATCCTTACCAAGCACAACTGACTTTGGTAAAGGTAGTACTCAGTGGAAGTAACCAGATGGCAGTGGACATGATCACCAGCCAACCGGGTGTTAACACCCCTGTTATTTATGGGAGGAACAGGATCCATGGAGAAAACAAAGTCAGATGGATTATCTTGCTGGGATCCTATGTTGGATCCAAATTTGGATGCTTAAATTGCTGGGATCCTTTGACCCCAGCTGACTTCCTGCCCCTCAGGTCGGGGGCTGGACTCAATGATCTTACGAGGTCCCTTCCAGCCCGAATGTCTATGACATCTATGAAATCTACGAATCATGGGCCCATGCTGAGCAGGCTGCCCTATCACACAGGCCCCAGCTCCTGCCTCATGACCACTTCCCCAACACATAGAGAACTACCTGATGGTGCATTTGCCCCATGATGGCCCATACAGCATCAACGCAGATGCCAGCACTTTGCTGTCTACCACGAACTTCTCAACTTTGTTAGGCTCCAGGTCCCCCCTTGGAAAGTGCCAGTCGTTAGCTGTCACTTGTTTCTTGATGACACAAAAACCCTAAGGCAATTCTCGTTGCAAAGAGCTCAGACCACAGCAGGTGGGAACATTTTGGATGCTATTTGAAACCTCTGGGTTGATCTTGTGCAGCGTTTGCACACCTAACTGCACTAATATTGTGCAGCTCCCCCACAGCATCTTATTGCTGCCTTCATCCTGTCGGCCGTGGCTGTAACACCCGGGTGGAGAATCACTGAACTACCTCATTTGTTGGCTGCAAAGAACTACCCCAACAGCGAGGAAAGTCCAGCTCCCGGGCTCATCCCCTACATGCCGGGTGGAAGGGCCAGAGCTTCTTGCCGTGCTAGTTAACAAGCGTAACTGTTCCAACACACGTCCCCTGGAGCTCAATATTCAAAAGCACTTCCTCCCCTGGAAGTGACTTGCCTAAATGCCATTTAATTCAGTGCATTTCACCTTGTAATGGGCTGCGGGCTTGTCGCTGCTCGCGCTGGGCCGGCTCCATTATCTGCTTATCACGGAGAGCTGCCGAGAAAGCAAATGGAAATCACAGTTAATGAGGGCACACAAATAAATTAGCCGCGATTTAAATATTGATCGTTACAGGCGTACACAGTTTCCCGTCGTATAACGAGCTCTTGATAAATGTCACGGAACAATTGGCGAGCGGTGGAAATCAGCAGTGATAAAATTCTTAATGGCTTTTAACAACTCAGTCAAAAAGGTCGGGTGTTAGTCAGAGAAAATTGAAGTATTGGCGGTGTTTGCGGGAGAGGGGAGATAAATGTCAGATGGGAGTTGTGCAAATTTGAGAGGTTTGAAAAGCCAGGAGCAGTTGTAATCCGGCAGCAATAACCCCCTGATTGCAGAATCCTGTTAACATTTCCAGCGTCTATCCGCGCTGAGTGCTGAGCAGACCGATTTATGCGCCCTGTTGCCTAAGGCCCGAGCTCTAATGGGACTGAAAGCCAGAGACAGCTACAGCTGTGATTCAATAACATGTGGACTGCACCAGTGGTCTCAAGTTTTCCAGATGCAAAATGCAGGACTGGATTAATGCATAGACAAACTAGGCACATGCCTAGGGCCCTAAGTGAAGAAGTGGCCCAGTTCTGCTTATTTTAGATATTATAACTATTGAGTGAAAAAAAAAAGTAGGGGCCCACAAGTTTGTTTGCCTAGGACACACAGAGGGGTTAATCTGGCCCTGCCAAAATGCTTCCTTAATATAAAGGCAGTTTCAACCCATGTGGCTGATGCCTTTGATGTGCAACGAGGACACCAGATCGAAGTAGGCAGCCCCCGAAAGGGTGGAACAGGGGAAGGGGAACATGGAAATTTGGGGATGTTCAGTTTGGGATATGAAATCATGGCATTGACACCGAGCGGGACACTGAGTGGCCCACTGTCAGCTCCTCCTCAAGCTCAGGGTAATTCAGATGTGGGGTGATCACCTGAAGATGGGCAGGTTATTTCCTTCAAGGAGGCCAAAGTGACTTGGGATTTTGCTTCCTGAATTCTGCCCCGATTTATGGACATGAAGTCCGGTGGCACCAGGCTGCCGAGTGAGACCATGCCAAGTTCAGTGCCTAAGGGACAGCCACGAGGAGTGAAAGCGGGTGCCCCTTGGAAACCCAACAGGTCCCACTCGGCGTCACTGCCAGTGCCATGATTTCATACCCAGCCCTAAGGCCCAGTCTTCTCACCCCCTTACCAATAGCTGAGAGATTAACATAGGTAACTACCTTTCTCCACTTACGAATAGCAGAGTTGGATTTGCCTTTTCTCCTTCTGTCCCTGGGTTGAAATAGCCACACTTTCCACATTGCCTAACCACGTTCCTTCTCTGGGAAAGATCCAGGCAGCTATCTTGCAGGGTAACTGTCTTCATTTCAAAGGCATTATTTCTAAAATGCTGGAGTATTTTGGTACCTTGCAGGCTAACCGGGGGCATCTACATGTGCAATTAATGCAAAGGGATAAACTCCGGAGCTGTCTGAGCTGGAGCATGCAGCTCCCAGGTGCAGCACATACACATGCATCCAGGACAGCAGCAACTTGTGCTGGGGGGGAGCAGGCTCAGGCTGCTAACAGGCTTGGCGGGGTCAGCCCTGGACTCCAGGTGGTGGTGGAGCGGCTGGCTAGGGCACGGGAGAGCCAAAAGTGCAAAGCCGTGTAGCTAGGTAGCAGGCAGGAGTCTAGGCCCCCGCTACCTGGGCTGCCTGGGAGCAATTTACCCCTGCAGTCACCATCCACACGTGTTTTATCGCAGTTAATGACTCTGCCATAAGATAGTAAGTACTTGTCCCCAACATGACTCTCTTACAGTGGAGTTAATTAATTTGCTGAACCCTGGTACTGGTGCATGGGTAAACAGTGATGCTTTGCTGTGGAGCTAATTAGTCTGCTTCACAGTAAAGCACATGTGTAGATGCACCCACTGGATCAGAGATGTACAAGCTTTTGTGAGTGACTGCTCACTTCACCTTGCTAAGTACCACAAAGGCTCATGCCACCCCAATTCAGTTAGTCTACAAGGTGCATCTCTACCCTCCCTTCTGCCTGACTTCAGACTAATGCAGCTCCCTGTTTCTCTCTGGGGTATTCTGGAAATGCACTAGGGCAGGGGGGGCTCAACTCCCAGCCCATGGCTGGACTTGGCCTATAGCACCATGACATGGATGCTCCCCACAGGGCCAGAAATTTGGTGGCAGGACAGTGGTGACATTGCCCCCCTCTTGCAAAATTTCCAGACCCTGAGTGCTGGATGATGCACCTGATCCCTGCAAGCAGGGCTGGGTGAGGGCAGTGCCAGGCCCCAGGACCAAATCCTGGTATGTGAGGGGCAGGAGGGGGCGGTTCAGGGGCCCTGGAGCCCAATCCTAGTGCATGGGAATTGTGAGAGGCCAGTGTCAGGCCCCTGGGGACCAATCCCAGTGCACAGAGGGTGGGAGAGGGCGGTGTCAGGTCCTTGGGATCAATCCTGGAGCATGGGGTAGGGAGGGAGTGGTGCTGGGATCCAGGGCTTGATCCTGGCCACGGATCATCCCCTTGGTGCTCTTTTGGCCCATGGGGCCAAAAGGTTGAGCACCACTGCACTAGGTCATATGTTATGTCTCTGCCCTGCTGAAACTATTGCTGATGTACCAAATTTTCTTGCAAACAACATGCACCTTTCTTCCCAAAATCACACCCCCAAAACATGCACTAAGCAGGGAAGCTGAGTTTCTGCCTCGGATAGAAGCACCCTGCTTTGAGTCTTGAGCCATGGCCCATCAGCTGTGGTATTACTATTCAGGCAGCTGAGTTAGTATCATAGTTTCATAGTTTCATAGTTGGTCAGGTCGGAAGGGACCTGAGCAGATCACCAAGTCCGACCCCCTGCCGTGGCAGGAAAGAGTACTGGGGTCAAACAACCCCGGCAAGGTGTTCATCCAGCCTCCTCTTAAAGACCCCCAGGGTAGGAGCCTGCACCACTTCTCTTGGAAGTTGGTTCCAGACCCTAGACGCCCTGACCGTGAAGTCGCACCTCCTGATATCTAGCCTGAATCTACCCTCTGCCAGCTTGTGACCGTTATTCCTGGTCACTCCTGGCAGTGCTCGGGGGAACAGGGACTCCCCCAATGCCTGCTGGTCCCCCCTGACTGGTTTGTAACAGGCCACTAGATCCCCATCAGCCTTCTCTTGTGGAGG